ACACCCCTCTCCCCTCCCTTCCTCTCTTTAAATCAATAAAAACATATCTTCAGTTGAGGGTTTAAAAAAAAAAATCATAAAGGCAGCTGATTCTGCTAAAATGAGACTAGCCATATACACTTTGTCCCCAGAAATAAACAGCTGCACAACAGTCTTAGCCAGTCTCCAAACATAGTTATGTTGCTTTTTCGTTCTTAAACAGGCAAAAACAAGGCTAACTGACCTCCTCTACCATGTTTCTTTGAGAGATCTTTGAATATGTGCAGGACTTCTCTTGTGTTTCCTTGGAGTGCACCAAAAAGTGCACCACTACCATCTATTACAATGAAGCCAAATTTGCTGTCATCTGAAAGTAGTGCTCTGTAAGAGCCTCTGTATGGAATTTATCACACAAATACAATAATGTATTAATTGGTTTGATTCAGAGTCAGTGTTGACTTTCTTTTCCTTTCCTCCTTCTGTTACAATTGTACCATAGTAAACAACTGAGCCATTTGCAGGTACTTTGTTTTAAAGTTTGAGTCTTTGTTATACAGATGTAATGGCTCCAGGACTGAAAGATGGTTTACTCCTGACTTTAGATGAAGTTCCAAACTAATTTGCTAAAGTATTTTTTTTAAGCGTTTGTGTTTTGTTTTGTTTTGTTTTTTATTTTTTATTTTTTTATTTTTTATATATATCTTTATTGATTTCAGAGAGAGGGCAGCAGAGGGAGAGAGAGAAAGAAACGCCAATGATGAGAGAGTCATTGGGGATGGAGCCCGCAACCTGGGCATGTGCCTTGACCGGAATCGAACCCCAGTCGCCTGGATCCTAGGTCGATGCTCAACCACTGAGCCACGCCCGGCCGGGCTGTTTTGTTTTTTAATTGATCCTGGGGCGGGAATCCAACCCAAAACTTAGGATGTGCCCTGACCTAGAATTGAAATTGACCACCTCTTGGTGCATGGGATGCTCCACCCAACTGAGCCACACTGGCCAGAACCAACAGCCTGCTAACCTTTTTGCCACACGTGAAATCTAGTCTTTGGGAAGAATGATCAGTGATATCATGCTTGTGCCATTGCTGCGGGCAGCCTCCAAGTTTTTTTTTTTTTTTAGTGTGTTTTTATTGCTTTTTAGGGAGAGGAAGGGAGAGGGGGAGAAAGAGAGAAACATCGATAAGTTGCCTCCCACATGTACCCCCGACTGAGGATCAAACCTGCAACCTGGGTATGTGTCCTGACCAGGAATCCAACCAGGCTCTCAACCAACTGAGCCACACTGGCTAGGGCCGCCTCCAAGTTCTTAATCAGTTTTGTGATCTTCCCATCTCCATGTTCCTGGTGGCTGGGGTTGTCCGCCATCTTCGAGGCCCTACTTAAAATTAAGTTTTTGGTCATTTTAGGGACAACATACTATATGCTAGCTTATCTTGTCTATTTTTTTCTGTTTGTGTGATCCTTAGTTTTTATCATAAGGTTGGCTGGCTTATTGTGACCCATAAGTTATGCTTTATTCTCATTTACTTTGTGAATGGAGGCTAACTTGTTTCAACCCTTTCTTTGTCCCTGAACAGTCTGAAGATGATGAGAAGCTGAAAAAGAGGAAGGAACGATTTGGAATTGTCACAAGTTCAGCTGGAACAGGAACCACAGAGGATTCAGAGGTAAAATATATATAAATGCTTCATAGAGCCCTTGAAGGGAAATGAGGGTGAACAGATGGAGTGGTGAGACACTGTTATTTCCCTGGCCTACTTCTTTTTTTTTTTTTAATCCTCACCTGAGGATATTTTTTCCATTGATTTTTAGAGAGAGTGGAGGGGAATGAGGAGAGAGAGAGAGAAAAAAATTGATTGGTTGCCTCCTGCATACACCCCGACTGAGGCAGGGATCGAACCTGCAACCCAGGTACGTGCCCTTGACTGGGAATCAAACCCACCACCTTTCGTTGCATGAGCCAGTGCTATTCTCTGAGCCACACTGGCCAGGACGAATCATCCCTTTTTACATAGAAACATTTCATGCTTAAAATACCACTTCAGGTAGGTATTAATATCTCTGCATTCCAGATGATGAAACTGAAGTTAAGAAAAGTACCATAACCTGGAGATTATTATGGTAAGTGAAATAAACCAGTCAGAACATGACAAATACCACATGATCTCACTTATTTGTGGAATCTAATAAATAAAATTGATGAAAAAAAGAGAAAAAAGTACCATAATTTGTAACAGCTGTCAAGCAAAAGACAAAAGACCTTGTCGTCTGAGCACTTAAGAAGTAGGCCAGGCCATGTACTGAAGAGTCTTGAGTTCAATTTCCGGTCAAGGGCATGTACCTTGGAAACAGGCCTGATCCCCAGCCTGTTGCAGGCTTGATCAGCCAATCAGTGCGTCTCACGTGATTGGGATGGTTCTCTGTAGAGTGCTTGACACAACACCTCTCATATTGTGAGTATTTAATAAGAAGCAATGTCTGATAAGCTGCCAGGCATATTTCTTTGATCATTTAATGAAGGCCATATCCAACCCAAACACAAGTGTAGTTGTGCCTAATTCCCCTCTGGAATAGGACAATGGACTCAGATGAGTCCACTGAGTCCATTTCTTATTCTTATCACTTTATTGACAAATAATTTCTCAAAATGAAAGATTGCCTTTTTTTAAGACTTATGTTCATACACATCCCAGCTTCCCCTGGAGTAACTCACATTCACTGAGACTATTTAAGCATTGGAAGACTGCTCAGAACATTGACAGACAATACTGATTTGCTGATTTGAGAGTATCTGTAACGGAGACCAAGTATCATCTGAGGTGTACGTAAAGAACAGTTAAAATAGTGAATATGTTTTGAATTATAGAAATTATTTGGGTGGTAAGGAGTTTGGAATGTTCTTTCTCCCATTTATTCCAAATTTACTTCCTTCTTTCCATCTGCCTCTGGAGATATCCTCTGAAAATTTATTATCTCACACTCTCAAAATCTTACAAAGTTTCTTTATGAATAATAAAAATAAACCCTGAAAATTTTAGACTCTTATTAGTTTATATTATTCACTAGGAAAAAACTTAGAGGGGTTTGTGTTCTTTGTGCTAACTTAGAATAAATCATTACCTATAGTAAGTATCTGCTTACTTAGTGATTTGCGAGGATGAGCTAGAAGTAAACGTAGGCTTGTTTTAATTCCAGTTAAAATTACTCCCTCTTTCCCAAGGAAACTTGCTATGCTCACTAAGCTGGTACATTTGGCCTCTCCAAGATAGGGCAAATGAGGATTTTGTTGGGTGGCAAGGAATATTGGCCTTTGTTGGGAGAGTCAGTGTATCTAAGGAAGAAGTAACTTCTGAGGTTCATGGAGTTTACATGAGCCAGATGACTTTTATTTGATTCCAAAGAATTGTGTCAATCCAGGTGGAGTGGTCCAGGCCTATATACGCTTGGCTCTTTTTAATCTAAATTAAGCCTCCTGTGTGAATAGAATAAAAAAGAAGCTTCCCCTTTGCTGGGGACAGTGGTTGGAGTGAGGATGGATTTGGTGCTGTTTTGTGAGGCACTCTTAGAACAAAAATGTCTTTCTCTTCTCTCCCCCTCCCCATTTTGTACCCTCTCTCCAGTGTGTTCTCCCTTAAGAGATCAATGTTGGGAACTTCCCCCCTCTCCCCATTTATTATGTTGGCATTGAAGATTTTATGCCTCTTTGGATTTGGAGCCCTGAGAAATAGCTGTTGTGTGGGCCTGACTGCACAGAAGGGCATTCCCCTCATCCCCACGAAAGAGCGTTGGTCAACCCTTATTCCTCTGAAATCTCCCATCTCCCCACTGAATGGAAGACTTTCATCAGCCCGTTAAGACTTCTCTGTTTCGAGGCTAACTTGCTACAAGGCTGAGTGGCCCTCTTTCCTTCAGGCATCTTTCCATTTTCCATTTCCTACCACTATTCCCCCCCACAAACTCTTCATAGTCTTCTCCCTTTCTCACCCTCCTTTTCCACCAAACCTCCCCAGCTCTAACTGAATAACGAGAAATTCAGAAATGAAATATTTGGCTGCCAAGCTTAAGCCTGGGCCTGCCTTCCTCCTTTGACCTTGTGACAGTCCATGTGAGTTTGGATTAGAGCAGCCAGGAACGCAGGCCACTATTGTCTTGCAATCTAATTTTTCTCTTCCTGCTTCTTCCTTATAGGCAAAGAAGAGGAAAAGAGCAGAGCGCTTTGGGATTGCCTGATGAGACACTTGTTTTCTGTTCTCCAGTGATTTCCATCTCTCTGACTCTTCTTGGTCACATATTCCTAAATACACAGTCATGTGCCTAGGTCCTGCCTCGCAATGAAAGAGCATGTACCCCAGGTACATCCATGAACTACAGTAGCAATTTGATTTACTGCTGTTTCAACTTTAAAATTGTTGTTGTGTTGTGTTTTTTTAATTATTATTTTGCTTGTTAATAAAAAAAATTTTAGAAAAGAGAACAGTGTGTTTTATTATGTACTCCTTTGAGTTCTTAGAGCCAGATTAGATCAGATACGGGGAGCTTCAGGGACAGATATAGGGAGTTAGCCATAATGCCTTTACCCACTAGAAAAAAGGATAAGGAAAGGGATTGAGCCCATCGCTTTAAGCCTGTTTATATTCTCTCATGTTCATAGGCATCCTTTTACCTCTTTATCCTCCTTGAAGAGGCCAAGTTTTACCCTGAGGATTTTTTTTTTTTAATATATCTTCTATTGATTTCAGAGAGAGGAAGGGAGAGAGAGAGATAGAAACATCAATGATGATAGAGTCATTGATCAGCTGCAGCCCGCAACCCAGGCATGTGCCCTAACCAGGAATCAAACCCCGGTCTCCTGGATCCTAGGTCTATGCTCAACCGCTGAGCCACGCCTGGCTGGGCTACCCTGAGTCTTTTACTTCAGCAGGTTCATGTGACCCATTGGGGTGAAAACTCTGGGTTTTAGAAGGTGCAAAGGATGTAAATACAAGGGCTAATGATTGGTAGCCTGTTATAGAATGGAGCCCAGAAGGGCCCTTGTTTCAAAAGTGACCTGGTGTAATACTATCTCGTTTCAGCCAACATGTGGGAACCTTGTTGGTTATGCAGTTCAGTAAAGGAGATGGTCCGGATACCCCTCAGAACTAGAAGAAAGTGTAGGGATTCAAAGCATGACAGGATGTCAGAGGTATTAAGCATTATTGCCTAGAATCTTTGGGAACATAAACAGTGGACTGGAGGCTTCTACTTTCTTTCTTTTTTTTTTTTTTTAATATATCTTTATTGATTTCAGAGAGAGGAAGGGAGAGGGAGAGAGAGAGATAGAAACATCAATGATGATAGAGTCATTGATCAGCTGCAGCCCGCAACCCAGGCATGTGCCCTAACCAGGAATCAAACCCCGGTCTCCTGGATCCTAGGTCTATGCTCAACCGCTGAGCCACGCCTGGCTGGGCTACCCTGAGTCTTTTACTTCAGCAGGTTCATGTGACCCATTGGGGTGAAAACTCTGGGTTTTAGAAGGTGCAAAGGATGTAAATACAAGGGCTAATGATTGGTAGCCTGTTATAGAATGGAGCCCAGAAGGGCCCTTGTTTCAAAAGTGACCTGGTGTAATACTATCTCGTTTCAGCCAACATGTGGGAACCTTGTTGGTTATGCAGTTCAGTAAAGGAGATGGTCCGGATACCCCTCAGAACTAGAAGAAAGTGTAGGGATTCAAAGCATGACAGGATGTCAGAGGTATTAAGCATTATTGCCTAGAATCTTTGGGAACATAAACAGTGGACTGGAGGCTTCTACTTTCTTTCTTTTTTTTTTTTTTTAATATATCTTTATTGATTTCAGAGAGAGGAAGGGAGAGGGAGAGAGAGAGATAGAAACATCAATGATGAGAGAGTCATTGATCAGCTGCAGCCTGCAACCGGACATGTGCCTTGACCGGGAATCAAACCCTGATTGCCTGGATTCTAGGTCGACGCTCAACTGCTGAGCCACGCCCGACCGGGTGGCTTCTACTTTCTAATCAAGCCCTTTGCTAGTTTGTCTTCTGTTGCAGAAGTATACTATTGCTGTTTTGGTTGTAACATTTCTTAGATACTACTAAAATCCATTTTACTTGCTGGGCCTCCTACTTAGAAAGGTGTGGCTTTTCCTAAGCAGGCTGCTTTGCATTTGAAGTTTCACATAGACTAAGACGTGCTACTTCATTTTTTTGGATGTGTTTGTATAAGGTTTCCTCCTCTTAATCTTTATTTCTGGACCTACTTACGGTTGGTTTTTGTTTGGTAATAAAGCTTAAGAGCTTGGCACCTTACCTGAAGACTTTGGTACCACAATCAGATCCTGTGTGGCTGTGGTGTAATTCCTTGTTCCCATTTCTACTAAAACCTTCTGTCTAGTTTTGTGATTAATAGGTAATGATTTGATCCCCTTCCTAACAAGAATCTCTTTCCACAACATCTCTTTGCTTGCTGAGGAGGGTAGGGACCTAAGTTTAGAAACTTAAGGAAAATTGTGCCTTTGAGAGGAGATCCAAAGATTGACCATTTGTTGTGCATTTTGCCCCATTCTGAGACTTGGAAAAATGAACAAAGGGGAACACTTGTAAACTTTTCCTTCCCTCTGGCCTCTTCTGTCTGTCTCCTTTTTCTTTTCTCCAGTCCCTGACTTGAGGCTAGTTTTTCTTCTCTCTACTCTGAAAACAGAACCAGAGAGAATTCTGTTTTGCAGCTTGAGAGAGGTTATAGATTTGTTAAGGGTTTTCTCCCCAAGGATGATAAAAGTAATAGGTAAAAGAATGGGGCAGGTGGTGATAATGGAGTGGAACAATGGGTCCTTCAGAAGCTTTCTTCACCTCCTTATCCTTTATAACCTTCCATAAAAACACTGAGCCTTCCCCCCAGGATTCTCTTCCTGAAGTCTAATTATTCTTTCCCTGACTCAACTCACTTTCCCCAGATCCTTGATAGTGTGGATTTTTTACTAACCTTTTCATCTTATTCTAGCAGCTGTTATGTTGGGCAGAAGTCTCTCATCTCCAAGCCTGATCACCAAATCCTCCTATTCCTGTCTCATAGTCATTCCTCACATACTTTTTGAACAGTAATAGTTCAAGATGCCTGTCTTTTCCACTAATTTAGTCTTTAAATAGTAAGCCCCTTTAAAGGCAGTAATAGGCATCCAGGCTTCCAGTCCTTTATCTGGGATCCAAGTACCCTTCCTTCCTATTCTCCAGTCTCCCTAGTGTAACTGATCCAAGACCCAGGTGTGGTTAGCTAACTGAGGCTTCTTTTTTCTGACCTGAAGCTGTAACATTCTCTGCATACCTGGAAGCTCTTAATGAGGGAGCCTATAAAAGATGTGGAGGGAACTAGCTTTCTTAGCTGTAAATCTGCACCTTTTTATGGTTCTCCAGGATCATTCTCTTTTTCTCCACAATCACTCTAAACTGCCCTTTTCCCCCAGCCCAACTCCTGGGAACTTCTGAAGATACAAGGCTAGAAGTTTTGTGGGGGTGAGGGGTATAGAAAGATGTGAATAAGAGCAGGACTTCTTGGTGTTGAGTCCTTTTTGACATGAGAAACAGATGAAGGGGAAGGAACTTAACTGTTTTTCCCTGTTCTATGAGGGTCTCTGATAGGCAAGGTCACTCACCTGATTATTGAAATCCATCAAAACCTAACAACCTCCACCTCTCTTGCAACATGTCCACACTTGTTTTTAAACTTGCCTTTGCAGACCCTTTGAGCCCAGGGTGCTCCCAGCTTTCTTTTCCTTTCTCAGTTGTCATTGCCATTAGTTTTCCACCTCTCAAAACACTATTAATATATTAGAATGGAATATTGTGTAGCAACTACTTAGGTGTAATTTCTTGTTCTACAACTGAGCTCTGCCAGCTCTGAGACTCTGGGCAAATTGCTTATTCGGTGACTATCTCCAGACCCTGTACCAGTAGCAACCCTGTGAGAAATTATATGTACTCAGCACAACTTGTTTACTATAGTTTGCATAGTAATTGTTCAATAAATATTAGCTCATTTAACTAGGTGATTTACAGTGGTAAGATTTTCTTTTCCCTGAGTATGTTCCAGCTAGAGGGTAAGGGATTGAGTGGATTAGTTTGTGTGTGTGTGTGTACACTACATATGCAGGTACATTATTAGGAGGTTCAGAGAGTGGGAAGAGGTAGGAGTCCTAATTGCTCTTTACACCCAGCTTGCTTGTAGGAAAACTGACGTTGCCTGGGGCAGACTCCATGCTTCTGCTTCACTAGAGAGCAGAAGCTTTAAATGCGACTGCCTTGTGGTGCTTAGCTTGGGGCCCGTCATCCAAAAAAATGGACAAAGATGAGTATAGGCTAGCTACTCATGCATTGGGTTGCAGGATGTTTGGGGTAAAAGTCACCTTGCAGTTTCTTCTGAGTGTCCTCTTTAGGAAACAATGAGCAGTAAAGGGAGAAAACATTTTTAGCTCAGGTAAGATGCTAGGGATCGGTGTGGATAAAGCAATTCCTTGGAAGGATACAGTATGTTGCACTTTTCTCCTCTCAACCTCAGTCTTGTAGTTTGGTCTGAGGTGGGGTCAATCTGTTGATAGAACTGACAGGACAGGAAAAGCATAGTGGCACATTGACCCCTCAGTGACCCTGTCCCCCTATTCCAGATCGGGTTGATGTTACAGTAGCTTTTTCCTTTTTTAAACATGTAAGTTAGGCAAGATTCTTTTGCTACACCCAACTCTTAAGCCTTGGAAATGTGCTCTAGGTAAATGGGAGACACTTTTGAGATGCTTAACCACTGTTCACAGGCAAGGTGAATGGCTATGTTGGTTTAGTTTGTGGATTTTGGTAAAACTTTGTTGAGGAAACCTAGGATCAGGGAACTGCAGAATAGGACAGACATTAGTGGGATCATCTCAAGAGAACTTTTAGATCTTCCATTCTCAGGAAGCTGGGAGAGGGTTTTTGTAATCTTTGGGACTATTTTGGATCAAGCTTTTAGAGTTATTTGAGGTCCCCTCCCTTGGGCTGCATGTCCCAACCATCATCCCAGATGCCCATAGTGTTTTTCCCATGTTCCAAAGACCACCATCTTCTTAGTTCTTGAGCACAAAGTTACATCCTCTCTCAGATCATCTTCTGTTCCTGGTCTGAGGTGTAAATGTTGGCGCTTGGTTAGGGAGAAGAGCTCATTACTGAGTTCCAAATTCTTTGACTGCTTTTATTTTTCTTTTTTCAGGTTCAAGTGCTGGATTGTGTCATGTGACCATCCCAAAACTCAGAGCACCCTATGGCCATCTTTGCCCTCTGTCACATAACTTGAAAACTGCCTGATGGCCTTTTTGCAATGGTTCCCTCCAGGAATCCTTGATCTCAGTGAAAAAGTCCTTTCCCGGCATTCCAGTGCCCCTGTCAGCTCCATACTCCTCAGACACCCTTAACAAAGGCAATCACCCATACAGTGTAACAAATACACA